TATATATATATATATATATATATATATATATATATATATATATATATATATATATATATATATATATATATATATATGTACCATTAAGAATTATCTTTATCGATCCAATCAATAATATATGTTGTTAAGAATTATGATGAATCCTTGATATGTACTTTTTTCTTTAGGATGCAGATTAATACAATGAATCATTTTAAACTATCATGTGATATTTAGTTGGAAATAGTGCTTAAAAATAGGAATTATTGATTGACTTTCGGATTTCCTTGAAAATGTCTAACTTCTTAAATCCTCTACCTTACTATTATCAATGCTACTATTAACAGTTGTTTGCTAATTACTTAGACTAACATTAACTTTCATATTATACTTTATGTATGTCAGTTTACACTAAGGATTTCCGAGAAAATGCTAAAACTTTAAAATTTGACGGATGAAATTTAAATTAATTAAAAACTCAGTCAAATCCTTTTATCGATGACAAGAAATCACTTTGTATTAGACTTCTTATTTCATTTTTCGTTGCATACAACGAGAGCAGCCGTATGCTATGCAGCTTTGTAGGACGACTTTTTATATCGTAGACTTGACGTGCGTGAAATCTATCACCTGGCGTGTGTACTTAACGTATGTGTGTACGTGATAACTTACATGATACTAACAAATTTATAGTGTCGAAATTTTCGATTTTTTAAGTGAATTTTATACTTTATTGGTTTTTTAAGTTGCTTTTGTAGATTTTCATTCTGTTTGCGTTTTATTGATTTTTTTTGATGATGGTTAGGAAGGTATGAATGCATGATTGACGTAATAATGTATCATACAGTGTTCTTTTAGAATTTCTGATTTTTGCAAAAAAAAAGAAGGAAATGGCCGGTGTGAAGAATCGAGTATGCCTGGTAGTGATTGATGGTTGGGGAATCAGTACCGAAAGCAAAGGTTGTTCTGTTTTCTTTTTTCTTGACTTCATTCTTGTTGCGAAGTTTTTATGAAATGTGTCCAGTACCACATAAAAGTTGCATTTGGCTATCAATATCATTTTTATCAAATCGTACTCATACTGAGAACTATGTCGGACTGAAAAGCTAATATTCGATGTTACATAGCAGGTTGAATATCTCGCATGTTGGGGAACATGTCATATTAAATAACTAGTATTGATGTTTTCGTGGTAGCAGAAATTAGAAGAATCGTAGTTTCAGAAATAAAATGGCGGTAATAACTTTTTTGCAGGAAATGCCATAATGAATGCTAAAACGCCGGTGATGGATGAGCTTTGTGCACTGAATTCACATCCAATTCAAGCACACGGCTTGCATGTTGGTTTACCAGAAGGACTTATGGGAAATTCGGAAGTGGGTCATTTAAACATTGGTGCTGGACGTGTTGTTTACCAGGTAATACAGAGTTTGAAATATTGCTTTTCAAAAAGTTCTCCCAGATATAATTTCATCGTTTTTGCAAGTGTATCCCCAAAGGTTTTTCGGGGTAATTCAAACACTTTTGCAGTACGATCCCATTTTTGTCGTAAGTGATTTATTATGAACTAATGATTGTGCTATTTTAGGATATTGTGCGCATAAATTTGGCGGTAAAGAACAAAACGCTGGTGGAAAATAAACATTTAAAGGAAGCTGCTGAACGTGCAATTAAAGGGAATGGTCGCATGCATTTATGTGGTTTGGTAAGAGTTCGACTTGATTTTGTTCATTGATTTTATTTGTTGTTTTTGTTTGCTGATGCAGTGCCGATGGATACATCCTCATCGATTTAGCCAGAATTATTCGACTAATAAAAAACACGCACTTTTAAAGAGGGTATAACCACACGTTATTAATAGCTGTGTGTATGTCTCGGTCTTTTTTTACATAATTTGGTTGATTTTGTATGCATGAAGCAGGGTCTGTGATACTTTTGTAGTACTGTTCCATTTATTCAAGCCATTGGTTAAATTGTGTCAGTAATTTGGATCCGCTTGTTTTAATTTCTCTCGTAACTTTCATGAATGTATCCAACTGCAGTTGAACTTTATCAAAAGTTGCTCTTTCATATTCCTCGTGTAACATGCACACAAGGATTCTGAATATAAAACTCTTGGGTTTCAAAATTTTCAGTAAATTTGCAGGTCAGCGATGGTGGTGTTCATTCACATATCGATCATTTGTTTGCGTTGATAATGGCTTTGAAACAGCTTAAAGTACCACACCTTTTCATTCAGTTCTTTGGAGATGGTCGTGATACGAGTCCAACAAGCGGAGGTACCGTTATTTTTCATCAGTTAAGTTCCTTTTAAATCAGTGCTAAAATTTTGTATGGATAGGAATATAGAGGTTTTTTTTTTTTGTTTTCAGTTGGTTTCCTCCAACAGCTGATTGATTTCGTCAACAAGGAGCAATATGGTGAAATAGCAACAATAGTAGGGCGCTACTACGCAATGGACAGGGATAAGCGATGGGAACGAATTCGGGTAGATAGCATTCTTGATTTATATTATTTTCGGTATCACTGACTCGTAGAATCGCTTTCAATTGAGATTTTAAAATTATTCGAGTTTATTATTGTCGGCAAATTAATCAGGCGATGAACTGTACTGAAAAATTGTTCGCTAAAAATAGGGATCCTTCTCCAGTTTCTCCAAATTACTTGTAATTCAAATGTTTCATGCTGAATAATGAAGTAATTCAGATACTTTGCGCTGCACTTCTTCCTTCATAGCTCAGTTATTTTAGTATTAATTTGAGTCTATTATGGTGATGCAACTTGCTACAACGGAGCTATCTGTTATTTAATCACTATTATTTTCCTATCAAAATAAGGTGTCCAAGTCAGATTTTGTAATGGATTTTCGTTTGTACCCTGCAGAATGTGTCTCATATTGTTTACCCATATTTTCAGGTGTGTTATGATGCACTAATTGGTGGCGTTGGTGAAAAGACTTCAACTGATAAAGCGATTGATGTTATCAAAGGACGATATGCAAAGGATGAAACTGATGAATTTTTGAAACCAATAATTCTTTCGGATGAAGGACGTACAAAAGGTGAATTACGTTCTGGTTCTAACTCTCAGAGCATGTTAGTCCCATGTAAAAAATAATGCAGCCTTTTATTACAATAGGTTATATCATTTGAGGCATCCAGCCCATGTTTTAGTGTTCCAGAATATATTCCTTTGAATTAGGAAATCTTATGCTAGCTTTTGATATCAGCATGATACTAACAGTTTTGATACTAATAGTGACGACTGTATCATTCAGCTGATAAGCCACAAGATGCAGAGAAGTAGAATTTGACAGGACTTAACCTTATCATTTTAAATTGTTAAGTTAAATATATAAGGCATACGGCCTACTTGAAAAATGTTCATTCGGACAGGGACTGTTTTTTAAGATTGGGATAATGTAAATTAATTTTTCATGAATTCATTAATTGCAAAAAAAAAGTGATCATTTTTTGCTCAAGATGGTGATACCTTGATATTCTTCGATTATCGAGCTGATCGTATGCGAGAAATCACTGAATGTATGGGTATGGAACGATATAAAGATCTCAATTCTGATATTAAACATCCGAAGAATATGGTATGCATGAACATCCTTCCTTTTGGTTATCAAAAATAGTCAAAAAAAAAGTCCGGACAAATAGTTTTTATTAAATAGATTAATTGAAACGGTCATGTTCTTGGAGAAGGGAATTGATAAGTGGAAGAATGAAACTGCTGAGGTGCAAAATTCTTTAGAAAAAAAGGAAAAAAAAGAAAAATGAGTGCTTAGCTTCATTTTTAAGTATGTATTAAGCAAAATCAACAGAATTTTAGAGATATTATATTTTTTGCAGTATTTTGAGATATGTATTTCTAAATGTTTTTATTTCAATTCATTCACGTGAAATGCTTTAGCAAGTAATTGGAATGACTCAGTACAAGGCAGAATTTACTTTCCCCGCACTTTTTCCTCCGGAATCTCATAAAAACGTGTTGGCGGAGTGGTTGTCTGTAAACGGAGTAACACAGTTCCATTGCGCAGGTTGGTTTGTCCTTACTAATATTTTGACAATACTCAGTTTAAATATTTTGCAACAAATTGATCCCGTTTCAATTCTAAAGCATCGTTAAATGCTTGGAATATCAGTTGTCTTCTAACAGGCCTGAAATACTGTTTTGGTTTTCAGCATCACATAAGGAACATTTACCTGTTTTGACTCGTACGAGTTTTACCTTCTCAGCTTAATGCCTTATCGCCTTTGTGGCTACAGAAAAAAACTTTATGACATTCGGTCTTATTAATGTAAAGCAATTCATAGCATTTCAATATATCTCTTCATTGAACGGTAGTTGACAGTGTTAACAGGTTAGATTACTGCTTAGCGATGGATATCGCATTATGTATCTCGCATTATGGATATTGCATTACGTTTAATGAAATAAAGTACGCAAACTATTTTGAGTTTTAAAGCATTACTAACATTACAATTTCTTCAACTGTATTTTAACTCATTTAATCCATTTTCGTTGATACGGTTTTCAGAGACAGAGAAATACGCTCATGTCACGTTCTTTTTTAACGGCGGTGTAGAAAAACAATTTGCAAATGAAGAACGTTGTTTGGTAATGTCACCGAAGGTTGCCACCTATGATCTTGAACCACCAATGAGTTCAGCCGCAGTGGCTGATAAGGTAATGTTCATTATTTTCATTATCGTTCTTTATCCATTTACGTAGAATACTTCTCGCTTCACATTATACTGTTCGCAGACGGCAAGATGTCTTCAACTTTAATTTTTATAAAAGAATTATGGGAAATTTGCATGCTTCGGCTAGGTTTTTGAATTTTTGAAAATTTCATTGTTTTGAGTTTTTATTTTCTTATATGATTAGATTTTGTTTTTCGATAAAATTGTTCTAACAAAAGGTTCATAATCTGCTTCTTCTTTCAGATGGTAGAACAATTGCATATGAAAAAGCATCCATTTGTTATGTGTAATTTTGCACCTCCTGACATGGTTGGCCACACTGGGGTTTATGATGCGGCTGTGAAAGCAGTAGAAGCAACTGGTTATTTTTCCTGCTCATCCTTTTCTACTTTAATTTTTATTAACGTTATTCAGAGCATTGGATGTGCTGTTAGATGAAAGGTACCATATATTAGGATTTACATTGCAAAAGTATAATAAGTGGTAGTTCTAGCTCACGTTTTGGCTGACTCCAAAACACAAATTGTAGATCGTCCTTTCTTTCGTGAAAAGTATTTAGGGTCTATTTAATGCTCACTGATTTCGATATATTCGTTCTGCTATTACCATTCAAAAGCTTTTTTAGATATTGCGATTGGACGAATATATGAAGCATGTAAGAAGAACGACTATATATTGATGGTAACTGCAGATCATGGAAATGCTGAGAAAATGATGGCGCCAGATGGTAGCAAGCATACTGCCCACACTTGCAATTTAGGTACACTTTTTATATTTCACAATTCTTGATGACGTTTACCATATGAACTTGAAGTATATTGAAATATATCGGATAATTCGTTTAAAATTCTCCTATGGATTGTTGCCACTGGCGGGTTAAAAACTTAGGATACTGTGATTCACCTTTACGAAGCACTAGATTTTATTTCGTAGTAGTTTTGGACATTTTTGGCCATTTTTGCTTGCAGTGCCATTCACTTGCTCCTCAATGAAATACAAGTTCTTGGACAAGTTACCGGATCGGGATATGGCTCTTTGCGATGTTGCTCCGACAGTGCTAAAAGTTATGGGTCTGCCATTGCCCTCCGAGATGACTGGACAGCCACTGCTTAATGAAGTTTAGATAGAGTATTTTTAAATTAATAGAAATCTACTGGAATCTACTTTTTTTCTACTTGATATTCATTAGTGGTATTCAATTTTTTTTTCTGCTTGATAGTCACTGACGGCATTCAATTTGTAATTCATTCTCGGTATTTATTGATGATATGATTTTTTGCCGAGCTGAAATAAAGATTTGCAAAAATACAGCTGTTTTTTGCTATTAGTCCTTTCTCTATGATTAGAAAACATTTCCGTCTAATTCATTTCCGGTTAAAGTTATTTGTATTAGATAAAATATCATCGTAATGTTTTTGCCTACATGAAAGCACAGATCCTGTATAAGCCATTCAAATGATATCAGAATGAAATATTCGCACAAAATACGCTTAGAATTCATAGTGATTACTTCCTATGCAAATCGTGCAGTTCTCTGATATTCGATCTTTCAAAAAGAAGCTCTATCTTGTTGTTGTGGACAAGTGTACCCTTCTGCAAAAAGTCTTATGAAAATCCCTTAAAATAACACATCCTATGGAATTTGAGCATTTATTTTGTTGCCCAAAAAGAATTTTTAGTAGTAAAACATTAAGTGAAACTTTCCAAATGTTACATGTTGAAAGAAATTACTGTAAAGGAACAGAAGAAAAGAATATTAATTGCAGCATTTAGAGTTGGTTTGAAATTTCTTTCCTAAAAATAGGTTTCAAGGAACTGTTTGATTCATTTAGTTTATTTCCCAAACAAAACTCGTAGCTTTACTCCATCTCTTTATTCTGCTGCCATGCATCATTTCTTGTTCCATGATCGTTTTTCACTCTTTCATTTAAATAATGAGCCATTTGTTTAATACTGACAGCATTAACAATGATGATGATAATAGCTAGGACTGAATTATAATCTTTTCTCTTTTTTTTTTCTAGCTGGTATTTATAATTCTATAATTCATAATTTCTTTCTTTTGCTTTATAATTTTTTTCTGGCTCATTTTTCCATTTTTTTTCTTTTATGGAAAAAAGGCTGAATTTGTACAAGCTAAATTCTTTTTTTTTTTTTTTTTTGGAAATACATGAGAGAATGCTTAAAAATAATTTTCTTCGAACAATAAAGATTGAAATTAAATTAAATCGAAATTATTTTTTCTTATAGCTTAATTCACTTACTTCTCAATTTTCTTTAAGGATGACCGAATGATTTTTGTTAACTGCGGATGAAAATACCGTATACTCTAATTGTGGTTTTAAAAAATATCAAGAGAGGGAAAGAAAAAAATGCAGCAAATATATATTTACCACTGGATTTGTGTTACTGAAAAACTTCTTTTGTTGAACTCGTGAATAATTATCCGTGCTTATCTACCAGTAACATGTCCGGATATTTACATATTTGAAAATCCTGTGAAAACTTCGACAATATCTTGAAAAGGAATGATTAAAATGATAGAAAGTATTATATACAAGTTAACCTTTTGTAATGATTGTATTACGATCTTATAACGTCGTATATGTTTATATATATATAATTTTTAATGAAATATTTGAGAAATGAGAAAATCTCTCTTCTACTTTTTTTTGACGTTAAGATGAACTGGAAGTTGGCTTATCTCCTATCCCATTTTTCGACTGATATGATAAATTCGAAGTTAACTTATCCCTCATCCTATTTGATGACAAATTCGAAGTTGACTTGTCTATTTAATACTAGACAAGTTAATTTCGAATTTATCGTAAAAAAAATTAATTATTAAACCACATGAATTATATGAAGATTTAATCAAACCCACATTTTACATTTTCAAAGTTAGAAGTGTATCTTCTTAAACAGCTAATTAACAATATTTGATAATGGCATACTGAAATATGTTTTAAAAATTTTTTACGACACGAAACAATCCTCTCTAAACATTGGGAAATGTAGGAAACTCTGGTATAAGCTTAGCAAAGGTTGGTTGACAAATGGTGTTCAACGGAGCAAGCAAATCCCTTCTTCTAATCCTGTAAAAAGTAACCGGATCAAGAAAAGGGAAGATTGCTTCTTAAAATGAAAAGTTTTTGTTCAAGAAAGATTGTTTCTTGAGACAGAAAATTTCACCGGTACTTTTTCCTCGATAAAATAACTGACAAAATCATACTGAAATAAATTATGTGATGATAACAAAATTTTATTGTTTTAAAATCCTTAGAAACTAAATTAGAAAATTTTCGCAAACAGAATTAGCTTACCTATGTCAGCTTACTTATATGTAAGCTAACTCACCCAACTATTACCATAATATTTCCTGTAATTAAATTATTGTTCAATGATATATATACATTATGTAGATGCACAATTCAACGGTCAAATTTTTTTGTTGAAATTCAGTATGATTCACACCAATAGAAGTAATAATACTAAATGTACCAAATAAGTCAATAACGATTACTGTATCAAATAATTGTTATTTTACAATTAATCCTAAAGTATTATTTACAAAATGCAAAATCATAATTATTAATTCCATTGCTACATTATCATATATCTTTAATTATACTAATAATTAAAAATCATCTCATCTCATCTCACTTTCTTTATTTTTATGTCGAGAAAAAATCTATTTGATTCATTGGGTTAAATAATTTTTATTCAAGTCAAAAAGGAAAATTTTTTTCATCATTATTGCAAAAGAAAGAAAATTTTTTTGCACTTTTTTCCAATTCAAAAAAAAAAAAGAAGGTTCTCTTAATGTCTATTGGTCCTTTTTTCGTCTATTTAGTAAAACTATTTCTAGAAGACAATTTACTATTAATCTTTTTCAATGTCTTCTTATTTACAATGAAACGTCAGTGAATTGATCCAACTTGCATTTTCAGAATTCTTTCGAAATGATCAAATAGCTTCAAATTTTTCTTTTAAGAAAAAAAACATTTCAAATGATTGTTATTTGATATACATTCCTTGTTGGTTATTAATTTCAACTTCATTGTTCATTTGGTAAAAATATTGCTTGAAATGATAATTACGAAAAAGGGAAAAGAATAGATTCTTGAGATGATGGATTTTACTTCTTTTTCCTTTTTTCTTTCTTTTTCTTTTAACTACTTATTTATTTTCAGTTATATTTGTTTACTTGTTTGTTTATTTATTTACGTTTATTATGTCATTCTTTTCGTTATTTATATAAAAATGCACAACTGTACTATGTTCCATACAACATTTTATCAGCATATCATAATCTACCATATGGAAGAATTGAAAGGAAAATTCTTTAATGTGATACTGATTAACTAGTTAAATATTCCCAAGTTTGTAGTCTCTACTGTTTGCTTATAAGTTTAATTCAAAACCTATCCATTAATCTTCCAATTCCGAGAATATTTTCAAAATTTGCCGAGATTTTGTCATAGATTATTCAAGAATAAGATTGATGCTACATCCAATAAATGATCTAATTTTTTGTCCAACTTGTACATTTGATGTAAAATTTCCAATCTCCTCATGATTTTCTGATATCTGTCTTGATATTATATAATAATTCTTGATATCATTGGTATCATATATAAATTTGATATCATCAATTTGATGTATCACATGACGTGACATTTAATATCGCAGATTGAATATCATATTACGAATATGTTGTCTTAGAAAACATCATTCAGATACTAATAATCACCTTTATTTTTTTTAAATTTTGTATTTAGGCTGATAAAATTAATACTTCATTCTTATCAGACAATCTTAGCAAACATGCGTTGAATGTTTATCTAAGCGCATATTTTTAATCAAATTTGATCACCAGTTTTATCCTTTATAAATTCTATTATTTCAATAATTTCCTTAACCAAATTGGAAATTAAATTATTGATTTTTTCTTTATATCGAATATTATCTAATCCCGCGTTATTTTTTGTCTCCATATTGCTATCGTTTCTTCCTTTTTGAAACACATAAATGCTTAATTTCGTTTTGAAATTATCTTTATTATGGGACATGCCATTTCATGCATTATACATAATGGTATGCGATAAATTCTCACTAAAAATTAAACGAAAATTAAGTCTTTTTCTTAAGAAAAAAAAAATTTCAATGAAAATTTATTGATTGCATACGGTAATGATACGATAAAAAAAGTACACAGCACAGATAAAAATATTGATTTTAGAGAAAAGAAAATTCAAAAAAAAGTGTTAATTTACAGATGCAAACAACAGTTAAGTCAACGATCTGTAGGAAGAAATCTTTGATTTAATTTAAATGGGATAGATAAAATTTACATTTATACAATATTGGGGAGAATTATAACGTTCAAAATATAAAATCATATTAATTTAAAGTTTTTTAAATTTCATTTAAAATTTTCCAAATATATGCTGCAATGTGCTAACACATCAATAATTTAATAAATATAACTTTTAGACATAGAAATTTCATTTTTCTATTATGCAATATTTCAATTAACTTACTTTTCTTCTCCTAATGCATTCTTATCCATTCTTTATCTTACATCCTTTACTTCATTTAATGAAAATTAAATAAATGAATAGAATTTTGTTATGAAGAATAATCAATGGATATTTTGATGAAATTATTTACTCATTAAGAAATTAAAAGTAGCGATCATTAACTTTGATTCCACTTATATATACATATATATTATATATGTATATATACAAACAGGATTAAAATCGAATTTAAAATTTATTATTCCCATGGCATGATATTTATCATAAGATCTTTTATGTTGAATGTATGCCTTCCTTTTTCATCTTTTTCATTCGTATTCATTTGAAAAATTTTAGTAGAACTAAATTTTTGAGAGTTCAAAAAACTTGTGGCAATAAATGGGAGAAAATGAACAGATGTAAGATGATATGGAAATGGGGTAAAAAAAAAAGCTACGACAGTGATTAAGTGATAGATATAATCAATCAACAGTATCTTTTTGCTTTTCGTCGCCAATAATCTGTCATTTTTCTTTCAATCAGTATATCATTGGTTTATTCATACTGATCAAAAATTTCATCTACTTAAAATTTACTAAATTTTAAAACCTTAAAAATTTTAACAATTTCTTACAAAATTTTCATATATTTTTTCATTGATAACAAACGTGATAATGACAAAAGAAAAAGAAAAGTGTAGGATCAGATGAAAATAGAATCGAATTCATTTTTCTTTCCAAATTTTTCAGATTGGTCTTTTCTTCCTTTGTTATCAACCATATTTTAAGAAGAAATTCTCCTCAAATACCTTAGAAGTCATACATTATTGTTATTGCTATCATTTAATTTTTTAATTACTAATTTTAAATCATTCATCACCAACA